ATAATGTTTATAAAAGTGCTGAAAGGAAAAACCTTCTTCCGCGTTTTCAGCGGAATGAAATAGACGCGCAAAAAAATATTACATAAAAGTGCGCGCGCTTAATTTGTTAAGCGAATCGATTCGTGGCCGACTTCCGTTCCGATTGGAAAATGTCTTCTATTTTATTTTTTCAACATCGCGTTAAAAACGGCACGTCGTATCCGACGTAATTTAATTTGATTCTGTACCGTGACTTGAACGTCACAAATCATTGAAAGAGGCGGAGGGCAGAGTTTTCATTGATTTGGCTTCGGTTCAATTTAGTTTTCTTCTTTTATTTTCTTTGATTTTTCATCTTCTCTCTCGAATGCACCAATTTTAATTCGTTTATTTCGACTCGTTGCATAAACCAGACCAGATCAGACCAGACCAGTTACGAAAACCCATCTTGAACAACGTTTCACAATTGCGAATGTGTTTATTTCTTCTCTCTCTTTTTCTCCGTAAACCTTGATACGATCCAAAGTAAATTTTCGTAAATTTACTTATAACTGTTATATAAATAAACATACTCAAACTTCATTACTTACAAGTTAATAACAACATTTGTTAGGAAGTTTACAATGATATAAGTGTCCATCAATCAAGTTTCCTTTTCTCAATTATTAATTAATGCGCGATACTTGACAAGAAACTTGGCACTTGTCATTTATAAATTAAATTACTGAAGCCTATTTTTTCAACTAATTATCCTTTAACTGAAAAATATATAAAGGAAATATAAAATAAACAGACATTTTTTTCTGTAGCTATAAGATAAAAACATAAATAAAATATTAAAATTTTTGATAATTTACACACATTCCCATTTCCTTAGTTCAGGAACTGAAAATATCATTTGTTGCCATAACAACGATTACGTTAAAATACGTCATTAACGTGTAATGAATAGGAAGCCTATAAATATGAATGAAATTCGTAATAAATTCTTAATACTTCACACACATTCCAATTTCTTCAGTTCAGGCACTGCAAATATCATTTGTTGCCATAACAACCATTACGTCAAAATACGTCATTAACGTGTGATGAATAGGAAACCTATAAATATGAATGAAATTCGTAACAAATTCTTGGTACTTCACACACATTCCCATTTTTTTACTTCAGGCACAGCAAATATCATTTGTTGCCATAACAACCATTACGTCAAAATACGTCATTAAGATGTGATGAATAGGAAGCCTATAAATATGAATGAAATTCGTAAAAAAGTCTTGATACTTCACACACTTTCCCATTTCCTTAGTTCAAATATAATTTGTTGCAATAAAAACCATTACGTCAAAATAACAAATACGATAATATCATAAATTACGATGAAATATAGTCATGAATTGAAATCGAGCGTTGCTATGTAATTTGATATGAAATCATTAAATGAGAAATATATGAAGGTAGATTTATTTTTTTAATCATGGAAATAAAAATAATTTCAACATTAAATCTGATGAAAAATATAATTTGATTTATTTTTATAATATGAAATAACTAAACTTCTAAATGTTGATATATTATCTATAAACTTGTAAATTACATAAGTATATGACTATAAATATTGTAAAGCTCATGGAAATAGAAGATAAATCAAGATTTCGTTGCTGCAAAGAACAGCAGAGAAAACATAAATAAAGCCTTGTCGTGACATGTGCGTATTCTGCGTTGGACGTAGGTCAACCCAAAATACATTCGTCCCATTTCAAATGGTCTTTTGTTGCTTTCGAAATCGCCACGTTATTGCAACCATAAAAGGATACATTTTCCAGCAGGATAATAAACGCCGGGAATCACGCAGAGAAGAGACACGGCCAGGAACTGATACCGGCCTTCTCCAGATTTAACGCCCTTTCAAACATGCGTGCAAACCTGATGGGATGACGTATAAACCATTTGTTACACCATTCTGACAACCTGAACGATCCAATTTTTTATTCTCCAGCTGAAAATAACCGAGAAGGTTATTTATTGATCGTCGCGTTCCGATCGTGACTTGAAGATCAAATACCTTTATTCAGTATTTTTTCATTAATATTATGCAATGTTTGAAAGTGGTTAAGATTTATTAGACGTTTGACAGTTCAAGAAAGTTTAGCAATATAACTGTTGTGTAACCATGGAAATATAAACACATTTGTCACTTATTAATTAACTACTTGATGATTGTTAGTTGAACATAGTTAAGCGTGAATGGATGATCGATAAACTTTATTTATTTCTTTATTTAATCACATATTTTTTCTGTTTGGCCTAAAATTGTATATGTCGATAAAAAAATAAATGATATAAAAGTCAGGATGAATGAAATAATATTAGGAGAAAACTAAAACAATTGATAAACCATAGAAACTATGAGATATGTCATTAAATAAAAAACATATAAATTCTATTTTACGCTAACAACGTTTTTGTAACCATAGAAACCAAACAAAAATTGAATTGGTTATGTAATAATCTATTAAATTTATTAAAGTATGAAGCTATAATAAGAAGAAGTTAAAATTGATCGGATAACAAGCTAAAAAAGTTAAGCAATACATATATTTGGATTGATGATACAATTTACTTGATTAAATGAAAAAAAAATAAGAAATAGGACTTATTATTAAAAGAGAACTAAAACCATTAAAAAACAAATAAATTCAAGATAAAAAAATAAGTTAAATATACATGCAAAAAAGAAATAAAAGAGATGTAATTTAAACTTCATATTTTAGGTTTTTCGTGATCAATCATTCTGACGAATATCGCACAACACTTGCATTTAAACATAATTGAAAAATACTGTTTTCAACAACACGCAAAAAAAAGTTAATTCGTTGACTTCAAAAATAATTGCTAAATAATGTTGAGGTTTTTTGTTTGTTTTCATGCAAATTCGTTACATCAATGTCGGGGTAATAACATGCTAAATATTCAAAGCAACTAAAGTGTTAAAACTTGTTTTTCGTTCGCTATTTGCGCACTGCGGATCAAGTATGCATTTATGTGTGACTTATGTCACATTACTCTTGTTATTTTCATTGCCGTCGCGATAAGACGATAATTATATATATATATTTTCAAAAGTAAATGGAATTCGGATGCTAATAAGTCGGCACAGGTGTCGTTTAATAATCTGCAAGATATTGCCAGACTCGAAATTATATTCCCATTTGCATGCTAATGAATCGCTCCGGATATTTTACATGTTAATCCCCATTCATTTTGGGTGCTAAATTTAGAACGCGATTTACGGCTCAACTAATGTGTTTTACATTACATCATCAGCATGAAGGAAATTATTAAAAGAAGAAAATATATAATAATGGACTATTATTTCTATAATAAAGATGTGTTTGCATTCTATTTATACCAATTTTATATGGTTTGTTTCAATTATTAATTCTTATTCTTTTTATAGAATTTTTATAGTTTTTATTGTTAGTTACATTTTTGAATATTATGGAAAGTGTTGAAACATTTACATATTCGATAAGGAAGTAGAAAACATTGGAAGATTGTTCAAAAAGTTTTGTTTTTTACAAAATTTATTGAAATAAAAATTTTAAAATACTTGACAAGTATATTTACTTGTTGAAATACTCACGCTGTAACGATTGTAACACGACGGGTGCTATCGCCTATGAAAATACAAAGTATAAAAAATCTTTAAATCTTTACCACGTTACATGATATAAACTCTAACCAAATTTACTTAACTGTACATAATTAATGCGATTTGTGTAAAAAAAACAATAAAAGTAAAAGAATTCATTGAAAAAATTGACCAGACAGAAATAATGTATGCAGGTTTTTGTTGTCTTATCGTCTAGACCCGAGAAAGGAATTTTCTACACACCTTTTTACTACTTTTATTCAAGTCATTCATTTCTTTTGCGTATTTCCGAGAACCGTATGTGTTTTTTTTACTGCATTCCTTTACACTCCTCGAATATAGTATTTTTTTGTTAAATTTACTTTAAATGAATGAATGCATTCACCATATTCATAATGAACTTTGATTGCATAACATTTTTCAAAAGAAATTAACCAAAATTAATGAATATTTCTCTAATTAAATACAATAATTATTAATACAGTAAAACCTCAGTTAAATTATTTAATTTAAGAAAAATGTTACTTTTTGTATAGAATAGTTTTAAGTATTTTACTTGGTTAATTTTAATTGTGAACATAAAACTTACATTCAGAATGAAAAACATATTAAATTCAAACTTTTAATAACAGAATTAAACTTTGATTCTAATAAATATGTTATAATGATGTAATAAAAAAACAAACTTTATTGTTGCTGGTTATTATTGAAAATGGTATGAAAATTGATTGAAAAATGCTATAACAATGTTGTTTAAAAACATTTATTTTAAAAGGAATATTTAAAAAAAACCTATTTGAAATCAACTATATCAACTTTCCTTATAACATATTTATATTATGTCTGTTAATAAGAAATGTCTGATTTCTTGAAAAAGTAAGGAAATGTAATTTTTAAACTTAAACATTTTGCTTTATTTCATGTAACAAATATTTTATAAAAGAATGAAACTTGTTCATTTTCGTCGTTATTGTTGAGCTTAATTATACATAAACAATTTTGTACAATATTATAAAAATTGATTAGAAAATGGTATAAAAATGTTATGTAATATGAGTACAGGTAAACGTCGTTTTGCGCCGCTTCGATTTACGCCGCTGCGAATAACGTTTATTAATTGCTGATTTTACACTTATATTGAACTAAACCCTATAGTTACCTCACTGTAAATAATGGTTCATTTTACGCCGATTCGATTTGCGACGGCTTTTGTGGGAACGGCGTAAAACGACGGCTACATGTATTTCGTTTATTAAACTAAGTAATTTTTAAAATACGGCAATACCTCGAATAGTACGGCTTCGATCAGTCCGGATTCACTATTACTATTTTCATACATAAATGATTGTTTTTTTTTACAGTCTAGTTTCTTTTTATGCAGTTTTAAAGTCCTCGATTAATACTTGTATCAAATAGTGCGGGATATTAGTGGACTAAACTATGAGAGGTAACATTTTGTGATGATTTATGTGTCTAACAATTAATAATTCAACGAAACTTGATTGTTTTTGAGTGACGCAATAATGATGACGTGCATTGCCGTTGAGCATAATGATAATGATTAATAATGATGCGGGGGAGGGAAATGTTATGAAAATGTGATATACAGAATGAGTGTTCCGTGTGGAACGTATCATTAAGCTAATTGCTAATTACGCGTGTGCTGATTAATCCAGCGAACGAATTTGGCCACTTTGGTGAAAACTCCTGGATGTCCTCTCGATGCGCACGGCTTTATTGACCAGGACACGATTCCCACTTGCACATCGTTTGAATAAAGCGGTCCACCAGAATCGCCCTGCAAATTATATATACAATAATTTCTGTTATTGCAAATCCATATGGAAATAAACTATACATTAAAATAAGAAAATCAACATTTGCTATATGTGTCAACTTTAATATAAATGCACTGAAAAGTCACAAAAGAAATAATTATATATCTAATTTAGCTTAAAAAATAATTTTGAAATAAATTTATTGATAAAAAAAAATGTTAATTAAATCAATATTATTATTATTTATAAATAAATTATAAATTAGAATTTCTTTAAACTATCTTTCTAATATATTTTGTAACATTTTTCATTAATCATTTAATTTCTTTGTAGTGATTTTTCATATGTAAATTAGCAAACCATTCATTATTATTTACTAATATTTAAAGCATTGAAAAATTAACTAATAATTAAGTGATTTTCTTACATTGACAAACATCAATAGTCCCAAATTTGTCGTTGATTTAGTTAAGTTATATTTCAATGAAATTACAAACATATTTCGATCAAAATTTTTGTTCCAATAAAATCAATATTTGATTGGTTTTTACCGATTTTTTTGTTAATAAATTATCAAACAATGAATTATTTTTTATGAAAAGTGCATTTAAAATATTAAGTAACAATTAAGTGACGTTCTTAAATTGATAAATAGTCTCATGATATTAACAAATTTAGAGTTTATTTGAAGAAATTGTCTTCCAATGTAATTTGCAAACACTTTTCAATCAATTTTTTTTGTTAAAATCAATATTGATTTTTTTTTTTGTGATTTACTATAAAACAATTAATTATTTATAAATAAGAGCATAACAATTAAGTAACCTTCTTTGATTGATAAAAAGTAGTAGTTATCTGCTTTGATTTAAAGAAAATAACTTTCAATTTAATTACACAAAAAAAAATAACAAAATTTTGTTTATGAAAAATTTAAATAAATGAAATATGGATATAATTAATAATAAATAAAATATGAGTGCATTGAAATGTTAAGTGACTTTGAAGCATAGGTAAACAGAGCAAGTAGACTCTTGATATTTGAGTATTCGCATTTCTGCTTCAACAGCGGAGAGAGATGAGAGAGTAGGATGTAATTTCTTTAGTGCGCTTTAGACTAATGAAGTCTCCGGCAATTACATGGTACCCTCTCTCACCACATTCGACTCCATTTGAAACTTAAACAAGTATAATTCGTTGATTACACCCCGAAAAGCGCTGAGAGTGCATGAAATATACCACTACCAGAACTTATCTCCGATTTCAATCCGACGAATATGCAAGAACTTTAATTATAAAAAAAAAAACATAGAGTGTCTGCATACAATTTAAAGAGTTAGTAATTGAAGTGAAAGAAGATTATAGTGCAAAAAGCAAATATGCAAGGATTTCAATAGTAAATAGTAGTTAGGTAAAAATAACATACACTGCATTGTCCTTTTCCTCCTCCATGGACTCCGCTGCACAAGTGATAAGCCCTATCTGCGTAGCAGCAATTCAGGTCCTCGCATTCATCATTCGAAAACACGACCAAATTAACTCTCTGCAAATACCGTTGAGCTCTGCCGCCGGACTGCAAAATTTATGCGGTTTTAGGTATTAGCAAATATTCGTATAAATAATTAAATTTATTGAACTGTTTCCATTCTGTGAAACACACACACAACGTTGATTGAAATCCATTTCGTATTAAAGCTAATAAAATTAATATACATCCAGATTATTGTTAAAGCGGCATAATTAATCCTTACAACTACAGCCTAATTTAAGGATTAACGTATACTAAACTATTATAAGAAAATCATTTTAATAGCATCATTTATTATACAAGTAAGTACTAGATTATTAATACTGGGCTCGAATCTAAACACTAAAATCTATTACAACTCATTAATCCTTACACTAAACTATTATACAGTTATTAATACTGAAAATATATATCATTTATTATCTTATAAGTAAATACTGGATTGTTTACAGTTTTTTTTTGTGGAGATCACAAATCTGCAATTGAATAATGGTGTGAAATTCTTCTTGAACTTCTGGAAAACTTGCTCGAGTTATTATTTACCCGGTTTCGCTTTCCATTATGTCCATAACAACATATGATGCTCCTAATCCCATCACATTCAACCTCGAAAGTTTCTTAACTTGGCGTTAAAAGCGTCCGACAAAAAGCAAAAGTCTGACTGAAACTTCTCGAATTTCTCTTTCTTTTTTTTATATACTTCACGAAAACATAAATCTTAACGCATTTAATATAGAAAGATTTAAATAAATATGATTTAGTTACAAAACAAAATGTGTCAATATAAATTTGAATTTAAACTTTGACATCTGTCATTTATAATTCAAATTTGTTGTAAATATACACATTTATACAATTAATGCATATTAATATAATATTTATGTTTATTGCAAATATTGTTTAGTCTCAAAATAGAATTTCCCGCCCAAAAATTTAAATCTCAAAATGATTTTGACATCTGTCATTTATATTCAAATTTGTTATAAAGCCTACCGAATTATTTTTAAATATTAATAGAGAGAACATAGTTATTGCAACCACAATATACGTGTTTTTAAGTTAAAAATCCTTCCAAAAATTTTAAATCTCAAAATTATTTTGACATCTGTCTCATATATTTCAACCCACACTATTATTTTTTATAACGTCGATAAAGATTTATAGTATAAAACTACAGCTGTTGTTTCTTCTATACTTTTAACGAAAAATAAAATAATTTGACTGTTTGCATTTCCTAGAAATAACAAAAAAAACAAACGTGATTTGGAGCAATTGTTCTTTGCGGCACGTAGTAAGTACTTTTCTTCTCCGGAACAGGATATTACTTCCAATTCCGGTTTACGTCTTGCACGAGTGCAACATTTTCAAGTATATAAAATCACGAGCGTTTCTAACAACAGTTACATAAGAAAATATAGATTTTTTTTTATATTTTTGCTTGTTCCAAGTAACTATAAATAATACAATAGATAAACTTATTATGTCATAAAAAAAATCTGAAAATGACATTGACATATGTCACTTATAAATGTAATTATTAGTAAGCATACTATTTTTACTTCAATAGTTCTTAAAAACATGATTTAATAACATAAAATATTTTTACTCTGTTGAAAAATATCTGAAAATTGTGAATTAAAACTTTTTTGTCTCTTATATTTCCTAACAATAATGTGATTATTCCTCGTCGAGTGTTTTCATCAATGGAGCAGAAAATTACATCAAATTTCATTGCTTTGCATTTTCAAGTTACATAAAAAGTCGAATTTCTCATTTTTCTATTATGGAATTTTCTTTTATAATTATTTATACACATAATAAGTAACAAATAATATTAATTATGTGTCAATTTTTAATCTAAAAATCACAGTGACATCTGTCAAATTTTGTTTTCTTGGAAATCACACTGAAGAAAGAAACCTAAACAATATTTTTTCTAATTTATGACAGGTCATAACATAGTCGACAATAGTTATACTTGACATTAATTTTACTTATTCTGGATAGTTTTGGATGCTTAAAAAATAGACGTACATAATATGAGTTATGTTATATTTTAATTAAGAAATGAACGTAGCTGACGTAAAGTAGATTGCAGTTGCCTTGGTATTATTGAAATGTCCATAGGAATGACGTCGCAAACTTGAAGTTCGAGATGTTGGACATGCTTTTGAATGGAACTATGTAATTCCGGTACTCCAATTTCGCTTTAGGAATGGAATCCGTGCCAGCAGAAGAAGTATATTAAACTCGAAGAAATAAGTTTGAGGTTCCTTTTATTAAGCGAAAAACTTGGGGCCACTTTATATCTTCATATTACATTGTAAATCCGTGCATTTCACTCATACTTCCGCATTTATGTACAAATCAACAACTGTTTGCATTGTTTCATTTATATATATATATAAAAATAGAGCCGCCGGTGTTTTGCCACTGCTCCAGTTTCCACAATAAACTTTTTCGCATGCCGTGTTTTGCGAAACAAAGAGATCAAAGCAACAGCAGAAATAAATAAAAAGACAAACTAACAACAAGAACAGACAAACTAAATGCAATACCTTTTCGTATCCCCATCCGGCTAACACGGATTCGGATTCGGGGTGCACTTCTTGAAAGGCCTTTGGTAGAACTGTCGGCTGTACATCATCGCTGAATTCTATGGCGTCTTCAAGCTAGAAACAATTAGTTACTTTATGCAAACTGTTGATGGTTATTTGGGATGATGATGATGATGGAAGACGGAAAATGGGGGCACAATGAAAGATCGTGGGTCCGGAAATCCTTTTCCATTCCGAACCTTTTGTAGGCGCTCACGTAATAAATAATGAAGGAATTGGGGGGAGTTGAAATAAGGCCGTTTGTGAGTGGCCTGCGGTTGGATGTCGACAAGAGAGAGCTTCTTCTCGTGGCTTCTGGTTCCCTGATAAAACCACCCTCTATGTCCAACCACCCTCACCGCGCCACGCCGCCCGCATTTTGTAATCCGTGAACATAATGAACATCCGTGGATCTTTTATTTGCGCACAAAGCCTCGCCCAAATTAAACGGATTTTGCTTCATCTCTTTTAATTCCCTGTTTTCATGTTATCTCCCATTACCATCCTCATCCTTTTTACTTGGGCAATATCTGTAAGACCGGACCCCTAATCTTCCGCACCCAGAATTTCCATAAATATGAGTCACAAAATGACAATGACATTTTTCATTTTTAGATTATTACTTTTGACACATCAATGGAGAAGAATTGAAATTATAAATATAAGCATTCAATGTTTTCAACATTTCCTATTTTATTTACAAAAAAACATAAATTGACGTTTAAATTTTCATATTTCATTTTGCTTCAACGTTGTTAATTAATTAAATTTAATTGCTAATTAGATTCTACCACGTATTTGAACTTATAGAATAAAAGTTTGAAATTTGAATTATTATTTAAATTAAAAATTATAAAGTTTTTCATATTATTATAATAAAAGATATTGAAAACATGATTCAATAATATCAAAAATATTGTTGAAATGGAAATACAGAAACAAGAAAATATATCACTATCTTTTATTTCTATGAAATACTTCATTATTTCTGTTTGTTGTGAGCAGTTTTCTTCTACGAGAAAGGAAATTACTTCCAATTCCGATTAACATCTTTCCAACATTTCCGACGATTCATTTTTCAAATGTTTATCAAATTTCTAAAGCCCATTCTACTAACATTAATATTAGTAACAACATTTGTGAATTAAAATCATCATTTTTTTCCTACAAATTGAATAGAATTAAATAAAGAAATTGAAAAATTGAATTGAATATAATAAAGAACAAAAAATATCAAAAGTTAACTTTACTAGCTGTAATATTTGCATCAACATTTATAAATGAATATGATTACATTAAAACTAAAATTTGATGTTCATAAAAATAATTTAAGAAAATGGAAAATATTATTGATGATTACAGATTATAAATTAATTAGATTTGAATTATTGTTTGATAAATTTATTCCCTGAATTTACACATTTAATCATTAATTATTATTATGTGTATTAATCAATGTTACGTAATTTCAAGTAAATGAAGAAATAAACAATGGTTATTGAAATTGAGTGAACGTGAAGCAGCACTTCCCGATTTCTGAATTATTGTTATGCGAATAATTTCCAATGTGTAAAAAGATCGTTACGTGATTGACTTTCTTACTCGATTTTTAATAGAATCGTTGATGATGATGTAAGTGATCATTGTAGTTGAACCATTATTGCGATTATGCAATTAACAATGCGCTGAGAATACAGGTATTGATCGGCACTTCCTGATCAATACATCACAGAGATAATTCACTCACTTTGAGGATGGCAATGTCGTTCTTGTGTCCATTATAAGGATCGTAGTCCTCGTGCACTATAATATCCTCCACATCGATAATATTCTTGATTGTACCGAGCCAGATGGTTCCATATTGGATGGTGAATCCCGAAGGTGGCCTAAAATTTATATTAGTTTTAAACCAGAATCCGAATACTTCCTATAAATCTGAAATAAAGCTATACTACTCATACGGGTCTATATAGAAATCCCAATAACCGAAATCCCGACATTCGAAATCTCGACAAAGGAATTTTGATAATGTTAGGTTGTCACGATTTGGTTCTTCCAATATCCCGGATTATTTGAAACCGGATTAATCAAGGAACTAAATACAAATAGCACAAAAGAGAAACTGAAGCGAAAATGGATGTTGTTTTACAAATAATTTTGTTTAGTAACTTTTTAAAAATAATTTTGATTTTGCTCAATTAAAATCTTGTTTTGTTACGTAATTTTCAAACCGTACTATAATGAATCCGGACTGATCGAAGCCGGAGTTATTGCTGAACACTTACTTCCTATAAACGCAATGTGCTGCAGTCAAGATGTGCTTCTCATCGAGGATAGAACCAGCGCAAATATGTCTTCCTCTCCTCTGCAGACTTACCTATAGTAACGCAAAGCGAATAAATGTAATTACCTTTTTTTTTCGCTCCTCTCTCACTTTTCTCCATTTTCGTTCGCCAATTCCATTCTACTTACGATGTAAGGGAATTCCCCTTTATGCGCGTCGCTGCCGTTAACAATTCTCTCCTGCAGGAAGGCAGGAATTTTGGTGATGTAGAAGAATATAAATCCTGCACATAGGAGCACATTCCGAAACATTACACGAGCTTAATACAACACAACACACTATGAATTAAAAAAAAAAATGAATTTGTATGAATGTCGGTATTTTCGAAACGGGAACAGTAGTTGTAAATGTGACACGTAAATCGAGATGATGTTTATGCACCGGAGAGAAACAAGATCAATACGGATGTTGTTTGACAATGGAACGCGGCTCCCGTTTGAATACGGATCACTTTCACTCGTCTTCCATTTATATATCGACTATAATCAATGTTATCACGCCTATCCCCGAAATTCACTAGCATCCAATCACCGTCTATTAATTGCATATTAGTAAAATTCAACATCGATGAAACGCAAAGAAGTTACCGAATAATGTTACCTTTTCATAACATAATTAAGACTTTTACTATTTAGAATCAAATGAAATTACTTAATTTATAATAAATTGCATAAATTTATATGAAAAGTAACGAAACAATATTTTGACCTTTCTAAAAAATAGAAAATGCTCTTATTATTCTTTTCATTTTTACTTGATAAGTTTCAAACCAAGTACTTCAACTACTTAATGAATATGCATACTGATTTTTGTTTTAATTTAAAGTAAAATTACATAATTTTGTATTCATAATTATATGTAATAGATATTGCTTATTCAAAATTGATGAAAAATTACGATGAAATTTTGTAACATTTGAAATATTCAGAAAATAATCAGTTTATTATTATCAAAAATTAAATCTAAGTGGATAAAAATTTTAAAAAATTGTTTTTAGTATTAATATTGTTTTTAGTCATAACAAATATGGTTATTCAACATTGATAATTATAGATTGAAGTAAATTGTAAAAGTTTGAAATTGTTTTACTTATTTTTTGATACAGGAAGAAAATTACAGATATGTTCTTTTAGATTCATAAGAATAAAAGTTGTACATATTGGTGGTAATTCATGAAAAGAAACTAAGAAAATTTGAATATTTTGAAATATTCACTGAATTATTTCTAAGTGGATAAAAAAAAATTAGATTTTGTTTTTAGTTGATTAATTTTTGTACAAATATGGTTATTCAACATTGATAATTATAGACAGAAGTAAACTGTAAAATTTTGAAATTTTTTTACTTATTTTTTGATAAACGAAGAAAATTCGAGATATTTTCATTTAGATTCATAAGAATAAAAGTCGTACATATTGGTAATTCATGAAAAGAAATGAAGAAAATTTGAATCTTTTGAAAAATTCACAAAAATATTGTTTATCATGTTTAAAATTCTACAAATTAATAAAATTCTACTAATTGATAAATCCATAAAAATGAAAATAAATTGAAAAAATATGTTCTGAATAGTTCCATAAAAGTATACTTTCAATGCAAGGTAAATGTCAACTCAGTTGACGTAGTAATTGAAAAGTCACAATGAAATTGCTTCACTCTGACATTTCATTTTAAGTAGACGGAAAACTAATCAAAACTCTTTTTTATATGCATTTTACATCAAATTTTCTTTCTTGAGAGTTACTTTTTTCTTAGATATGATAGTTTTTAGTTACATACACATTACATAATGTCAATTGAGTCAATTAATTAAAACACAAAGTAGAAAAATGAAGAATAGATGGATATTTTTTAATTTTGTATTTTAATTTATATTACTAATTAAATACTTATCATTAAATTATGAAAATTATTAAAATTATAATCTTCTTTTTTTTTCATTAAAAATATAGTAATTAAATAATACTTTAGAAAGTGAATATTTTACATAATTATTAAAGAAAAATCTTTAATATTACTTTTTTATTAACTTTCAATGATTTCTTAAAATACAATTATTACAACAACAATTTCAATGTATTATAAAGAACAAAATAAACTGTGTTGAAATTTGCTAAATCATGTAAACTAAAGTTTCTCTATTGTCGTTTCTTGCATTATGTAATGATTATCAAATTTACGTTATTTACGTAATAAAATATATTGTACTACTTAGAGAAAGAAAAGTTTTCTACAAACATACTTTCTTATACATTTTCCGTAATTACTGATAAGCAAAAGCATTACAATTTGAATACAAATGAAAGTAAAAAAAAGGGAAGAAAAAATATTTTTTTTCTAATGCATTCATATGTACATATATTTTTTTTGTATGTTAATTAATGTTTATTAACCCTTGAGGAGTTCGTGACCCGAATTTTGGTCGGTCCGGCTATTTAC